CTTTTTGTAAGTCAGGTCTTGGTGTTCAGGGAAGGTGTGTTGCAGGATAGATGACAGATGCCACTTGCAAACAATCTATTCTCCTAGCATTTGTCCCACAGCTCTGAGTTCTGGACAAGGGAAATTACTCTCAACTGGAAAAAAAAAAAGATATCAGCAGGTTCTGAGAAGAGCAGTAATATGAGCCTCACCCTCAAGCAAGACATCAAAGGCATGGCTATGTGGGGTACAAGATGGGCTGGACCCCAGGCCCTGTAACTTCTAGTAGTAGAAACTATTGCTGGGCCAAAGTTTGGGATCTGTGATGCCACCTGCCTTCAAAAGACACCCTAGTCACTCAGGAGTTCAGCAGTAACCAGGATAGACTGAAAACAAAGATGGTTCCTTTTGTATTTTCCAGGTACCAGGCAATTCCCATAGATTTTGCGTAACCTTAGAGAAGAACTGGGAATGAATTTCTTGGTAGGTGGCAAGATGGGGACTCAGATCCAATTTGATTTAAAAGAATGTGACATTTCTTCCACACTCAAATATACTCTACTGCTTATTCTAGACAGCTTCATACCTCAGAGCAAAAGATAGGCTTTACAAGAAGGCAAATTTATATTCGTATAAGCAACGAGTTTCTCAAAATTACTACTGTCCAACAATGGAACCTTCCCATGCTTGTTTCCTTACCTCTAAAATAAGGGTAATAATAGGATTCACTTTAAAGGATTGTTTAGACCAGAAATCCTCAAACTACGGCTCGAGGGCCACATGCGGGTGTTTTTGCCCATTTGTTTTTTTACTGCAAAATAAGATATGTGCAGTGTGCATAGGAATTTGTTCATAGTTTTTTTTAAAACTATGTCCAATAGTCTGAGGGACAGTGAACTGGCCCCCTGTTTAAAAAGTTTGAGGACCCCTGGTTTAGACTTAGAGGATTAAAATGTGTCAAAGTGTAAGGTGCTAAGAAAAATGTCTACCTAGCATGTAATAAAGGCCAAATAAATATATTTTTATGGTGATAGGCACTCTGTTCCTCTGCTACATGTCAAATACTACCTTTTTGGAAACCTATGGGCTAAAAATACTTATGTCCACAATAAAATATATTCACATAAATTTCAGGTTGGATTTTGAAGCCAAATTATTAATAAGTTTGGCAACAGACTTAAGAAAAACTTTTGTTTTCAGAGCCCTGTGAATTTCAGAATTGCAAAGTTGTAGTAGCCTTCAAATTTTTGCTACTGCTTGCTTGGCAGTTGGTCCCAATTGGAAACATAAGTTAAATCTTAAAAATGTTCCTGAAGTTCAAATGGTCTCCAGAAGACATTAGATTTAGGCAAAAACAATTCACCACAGCTTCACTTAAAAAAAAATAGAAACACACCTCTTTATCACCAGTTAATTCTACAGTAGTTCAAATCCTTTTGAATATAAAAATTTAAAAAATCACATCTTTTTTCTTTTCTGTGCTTTCACAACTACACTTTCGGACTTCATCATTTCTCACTTATATAAGAGCCTTCTCTATCTGATGCACTTACCTCCATCCTGCCCTTCCATGATCCTTTCCTGACAGTAATCCACAGCATTCCCAGTGAGCCTGCTGCAGTGCAGATCTGATCTGTGGTAGTTCTCAACTTATTTACATGGGTAGCCAGTGGGCCAAATCTGGCTGGCAGATTTTTTGTTTTATTTCAATGCCTTTGAGCAGGTATATACCCCAAGCCCCACCACTCACCATTTATTGACTCCTTTTATTTGGATTCATACGCTATCTGCCTGGCCCCTGTGAGAAATCTGGATTTGCCAACCTCTGGCCTACAGTATACATTGCAAACACTGCAACTGGTGTGATCTTTCTAAAATGCAAATGAGGCCATGTTTCTGCCTTGCTATGCTCAAAAAATGTAGCTATTAACTGGCTAGTCTTTTTCTACTTTTATTCATGCAGCAAACATGTATTGTGTTCCTACAACATAACAAGCACTGTTCTAGCTGTGGGGGATACTATAGTGAAAGAAACAGACCAAAACCTCATAAAGCTTAAATTTGATTGGCAGATACAAGTGCTATGGAGATAAAGCGTGGGAGGGAGGGGAACAAAGGTGTGGTGAGGGCAGGGTGCCATTTCAGGTGGGCTGGTGAGATGAGGGCATGTACTATTAATATAAGGGTATCAAGGGTGGATGCATTCCAGGCAAGGAGGACCAATGTCCTGGAAGGCTGGATGTTGCCTCCAATATCTTCTTAGTCAAATCCTAGTTGTCCTTCAAGAATTAGCTCAAATACCATTTTTCCAAGGAAACCTTTACTACAATTCCCAGATGGAATGAAATTCTTCCCCCATACATTCTGACCTATAACTCAGTTATACTTTCATGATTCTGTCATTTGTAGACACTGTCCTCAAAAATATTGAGAAAAATAAATTATCTTAAGAATAATTAGACACAAGAAGGCACTCTTGACAAAACCCTCTTAACACAGGGACATTATATGGAATGTATTCTTCAGAAAGAAAAGGGGTTTTTTTGGGAATCAAAGTCCAGATTTAAATTTCTTATCTGAGTGAAGCTAGACAAATCCCTTAGCCTAAACATTTGTGCATCAGTAAGTACTGGAAGGACCAAATACTCAAAGGCATGTTTTAGGCACAGGCCAGTGAAAGCACATAGCCAGCCCTCAGTAAATAATGCTCTTCCCTTCTTCTTAGCAAAGAAAACTGCTTTCCATCATTTAGCCCCCAAGAGCAGCTGTTGCCACAGGAGGGCACCATCGGCACAGCTGGAAAGGCATGGCTGCTTTGCCTTCTCAGAGCTGACCAGCCACCAGCTAGCTCACGCTTAAGCTTTAAATCCCCGGTGTGTGAACCTTGAATGAAGAATGGCATTTGACAAACATATAGGGGTGATGAGCTTGGTACCATCAAGTCTATTATGGATGGACTAGGAGAAACAAAAACTTAGCATGGTGGTGAAGAGCAAAGGTGTTTTGAGTCAGACTGACTAGGGTTTAAATATGGGTTCTGTTGACCACACTGGGCAAGTGTACCTCCCTGAGCTTCATCTGTCAAACATGGTGGTGCCAGGCCTGTGCTACAGGCTGGATACTGGCCCCAGTGAGCTCAGATCGGGATGCGATGAACCAATGGATAGATAAGCCCCAAGAAATGAGAACTGTAGGGAAGAATATGGGATAGCTGGTAACTGCTGTGGGCACACAATGGCACCAGCTCTCTCTTCTCTCAGCAGTGCCTCATCTATTGTGTTCCCCAGTGCTGACAGCCCTACACTGCAAGGAGGCAAAGTGAGACAAGACACCATCAAAAGGCTGAATGCTTTCTAATTTCAACAAATCAGAAAAAGAAGCCAGACCCTAAGAGGACTTTTAAAAGTTGATTAAAATACATGCCTTAAGGGCAATCTCTTCAACAAATGGTGTGAGAAAACTAAATATCCACATACAAAAGAATGAAGTTGGACCCTTACTTCACATATACAAAAATAAACTCTAAATGTATTCAAGACCTAAATGTAAGACCTAAAATTACAAAACTCTTAGAAGATAACAGGAGGAAAGCTTCATGACATTGAAGCTTGAAGATTTGGCAATATTTCTTGGATATGTCACCAAAAACACAGGCAACAAAAGTAAAAGTAGATAAATTAGACTATATCAAAATTTAGAATTTCCTCAAATGATATAATCAACAGAGCAAAAAGGTAACCTACAACATGGGAGAAAATATTTACAAATAATATATCTGACAAGGGGTAAAAAATTCGGATTATAAAGAACTCCTACCACTCAAACACACACACATACACAAAACCTGATCAAAAAATGGGCAAAGCACTTGAATAGATATATCTCCTTCTCCAAAGAAGATATACAAATGTTCAACATATGAAAAGATGCTCAACATCAATAATCATTAGGAAAATACAATCAAAAACAGAATGAGATTATCATCTCACACTCATTAGGATGGCCTCTATCTAAAAAGCAGAAAATAACAAGTGTTGGTGAGGATGTGTAGAAATCAGAACCCTGTGCGCTATTGGTCAAGGCAATGTAAAATGGGGCAGCCATAATGGAAAACAGTATGGTGGTTCCTCAAAATACTAAAAATAGAATTACCACATGATCCAGAAATTCCATTTCTGGGTATATACCCCCCCCAAAATAAAAGCAGAATCTTGAAAAGAGTTTTGCACAACCACGTTCCTAGCATTATTCATAATAGCCAAGAGGTATAAGCAACCCAAGATGAATGAATAAACAAAATGGCATATACATACAATGGAATATCATTCAGCCTTAAAAAGGAAATTCTGACAAATGCTACAAAATGGATGAATGTCAGAGACATTAAGTTATGTGAAGTAAGCCAGTCACAAAAAGACAAATATGGTATGATTCCACTTACATAAGGTACTTACAGTATCCAAATTCACAGAAACAGAAAGAATGGTAGTTATCAGGGACTTAGGTGAGGGGAAAATGATAAGTTTTTATTTAATGGGTATGGAGTTTCAATTTTGCAAGATGAAAAATTTTGGAGATTGGTTACACAACTATGTAAATATACTTAACACTACTGAACTGCACACTTAAAAATGGTTAAGATGGTAAATTTTATGTGTGTTACCACAGTTTCTTTTAAAAATGCAGTTTTTAAATGTATCTCAACTTTGGTGAGCATATTTTTGGGTTATTTCCTAGTGAAGCTACTCAGAGGCTTAGAAACCTGATTATGCAGATGAAATATCCTAAAAGCAGACAGGTTAGCATTCTCTTCCCTTCCTTCTAATTTACCACAAGTATTCCAAAGACACTGGATATTTAGTCAGATGTACTATTCAAGACAAGCATTTGCATGGAAAACAATATTTTCCCTATTATTAGATCTCAATTAACTAACTAGATTCCAGCCTCTTAAATGTGGGCAGACTTCTGGCTCTGTATTAGTCTCTGCATACACTCAGAAAGGAATTAATACATCTTTTCAGGAAAAAGTATTTATTTTACATCATTACAAAAATATTTAGGCACATAATTTTCACATTTATGTCACCTGATTTCCATACCTAAAACCTTTTAAAAACACTAAAATGGTCATTCGGTAAATATAATAGAATCTATATTGAAAAAATATTGTGAGAGGCTAACACCTGTAGACCAAAATCAGTTGATCATCATCATGAGAAAGTAAGTACTTGTGAACAAAATAATCTTTAAAAACATTTTTATGTGACAATAAATCTAACCAGTAGATTTCTTTTTAAAAAATATTTTCAAAAAACAAAGCCAAAAAAGAAAACCCCCACTGTATAACATCTCCTCATACCATGAAGTGGCACCCTCAAAGTAAGAACTAGAAGACAGGTTTAGAAAACAGTGGTGGCACCAGAGACTCACATACACTGACAAGGGAGACAAGCCTGGAAGCAGAGGCAGCGTGTAGTCAAGTTCCTTGAATTCAGAGAAGGGAAGAAGGAAATGTCCAGCCTGTACAGGAGCTATCTTAAAGTTTAAAATTGAGAAAGTTTTAAGTGAATTACCATTCTAAAAACAAATTATCTTCCTCTAAGATAGAAAATAATTTTCCTTTTTTAAAATTCACCATCACAATATGAAAGTAATGTTGTTAGTTTTAAAAATCAGGTAGAATCACCTGTATCACATAAGGGCCACGATTATGTCCAGTAGGTATTTTTTAAAAAGAAAAGACAGTGAACAGAAACTATTATCTGAGCATTCTAGAGGCAATGAGGTACAGGGTCATGGTTTTCAGGAAACACACAAATTGTTTCTAGCATTTAAGGAGCACAAGTTAAGAATCTTGTTTTGTCTGTAGTCTCACCACGAAGTAATCACACAGTAGCTACATTTGCTGAGTGCCTAAGATGTACTAGGCATTGTGCTAAGTATTAAATAGTTTTATATCCATTATCTCCTTTATTCTGAATATCTTTTCCTCAGGGAGAGGATATCAATTACAGTCTTGTTCAAAGGAGGAACCAATATTACATAGTTATGGGAAAGCAAGAACATGTGCAATAGAGGAGAAGGAACTCAGGCTATTCATATTAATAGAATGCTATCACTATCTCAGAGCTAGAAGACTAACATGAGTTTAAAAAGGCCTCACAGATTAAAAAAAAATGCTATAGCATCTACAGGTGGGGTACCCCTAAAATCAGTGACACTGATCACTATAAAGGCAGCTCTTGTTTACAAATCACTGACTCCTTTCGCCTGTTTCCTTTCTCTTACTTAGGGTCCAGGCCACCACCTTATATATTCCCTGTAATTATACATACACTCCGTGAGAGCAAGAACCATGTCCTATTTATCTGTTTCCCAGAGCTTAGCAAAATGCCTTGCATGTAACAGCTGCTCATTAAATCTTTGCTCACTGAATGTGATTATAATAATGAAAGCAAAGGCAGACCCAAAGTCCTAGGTATTATTCCAAATCAATCACATGTTAAACTTTGCTATTCTTGCCGTGAAGATCTTTCATCTTTACTGACCAAAACTTCCATGGATTCCTGATAAAAAGGACTAAAGAAAACTTGCAAATGCGCTTTTTTAACTTACATGCAAGTTGTATCCTACAAATGGCTGACTCATAAAGTCAACAGCCACATGAGGTAATTAACTCATGTGACACATGTTGACATGTGCAATCTGGCCACACAGGGTTATTCTAATCCATCTGGAATTGACTAAAAGCAGACTGAGGACTTCACTTTTATTAACTCAAGGAATAGGAGCCACCAGTCATAGAATTTGGTTTTCAGAATTCTTATTATAGCTCATTTGTCTCAGTGGACAAATTAAGAATTTAACTCTATACTGACTCTTTTTCTCCCAGGAAGTAGTGGTTAACAGGTCAAAGAATTTTGGCCCAGTAAGATATCAACTTTGGGGCAAAATCCAGACATTCTGGGAGGTGCCAGACTAATAGGTAAATCTCTCTCATATATTACACCATGCCTACAAATAACTGAAAACACAAACTCCTAAAGTGGTTGGCCAGTCTATTTACTCTCCAACAAAGAGGGAGATTGCCCAGGCTTCTCCCTATTATTTTGAAATGCTGGTGGCAGTTGAGTGATGCATCCAGGAATCAGAACATGGACAGGGCAGAAGCCATAAGTTGCTATACTGCTCTGGTCAGCCAGAAGGTTCGTTATAAACCAGGGGCTCTGAGGTAAAGAGGCCTGTCATGTGCTGAATTCAGTGAAGCTATAACTATACGATTTTCTCAAATAAACCTAGAGAGGTGACAGACCTCCAAGGGAACCACAGCCCCAAGAAGCAGTTCAACCCCTGGTGAGGCTCTAGCCCAACACCCCTTAAACACATCCAAAATCCTTTCATGACAAAAATTCTACAACACAAAATATTTCTAATGTTCTCCCTTCATGTGGCTGGGTAGAATCACTAAAATAAGCTCTCAGTATGCCCTTCCAGGCTACCCAAGCAAAACAGGCAGTGTTAGGCAGCATTTACAGCCAGACATGCATATCAACTGAGGTCAGCCTAGAATTGGATAAGGCTCCAGGACACAGTGAACTGTCACTCTCCCTGATTTGCAAAGTCTGTTCCTCTCTGACCCCAAATTCAGTAAACGCTTACCTCTTTGAAAGAGCTCAAGCCAACTCAGCTCACATCTCTGTTTCCTTACTGTCTCAGAGGGGAAAGGCATCAAATCAAATGGCTGCATGGTTCAATGGAAAGAACATGGATTTTGATCTATAGCAAGTCACCTTCTTCTGAGTCTTGTTTTCTCATTGGTAAGATAGAGACAATTAGACCCATTTGACTCAAGATAATATCCTATTCTTCCAGTGCTATTTTCTTAGGTCAAATGATGCTGGAAAAAAGTAAGCCTAAGTCTCTTACATGGAGTTTGTAACTTGAGAACTGGCCAAAGGGCTCATTCTATGGACACAATACCACTGGCCAGGCTTTAATAAACACAGACTAAAATAAGGGAAAGGCATGAATATGAAAATAACCTCAATATAATTTTTCAAATGGGAAAAAAAAAAATCAAAACTCTCCTGCCTCCCTGCTGAAACACCAAAATTCTCATTGTTTAAGTCAACAGAGCCCAGTGGATTCCAAAGCCAGTGAAATAGAAGCTAGCATGTGCATGAGTGCCAGGGTACCCTGCCTCTTGTACACTGACTGTACAACTGACCCAAGCAAACACACTCAACCCCAGAGTCAATGGATGTCTCTGAGTCAAGTCATAGGACTGTGTTTGAGTTAACACCCAACCACCAACCCTGCCCATGGGCAATTCGGTCAATGCTTGTTCACAGCTGCTCTCCCATGGTGAAGCATTGGTCCTGAGAGAAGTTGGCAAGCTCATTAAGTGAGCCCAGGGGTATATGGTGTAGGTGGGAGTGTCCAAAGGAGAGAGCTATGCCTATTGTTCATGCCATTTAAGGAGGAAGGAAGATGATAGCTCTAACACTGATACTGCCAGAAACAGACAAAACCTTGACGATACAAAAATGTTAAACAAGTCTTTCCCCTCAAACCAACAAATTCAGAAATGTGGGATTTCATCATATTCATCCAAAGAGGAGTAAAAAGAGTAGCAGCCAAACCTAGAGGAAGGAGGCATGGGGAAACAGATGGTGGTCACCTTGCTTGTCTGCCATTCTCGTGCAGAGAAGGTGTCAATACTGAGCTGCACTGGTTTACAAACTGTAGCTCTTCACATGCACTTACTTCATCCCACGTGGCAGCATTTGGACTCACGCTACTGTGAGGCAGGTAGGGCGGTTTCTTCTAATCCCATTTACGGCAGCATTTGGACTCACACCGCTATGGGGCAGGTAGGGTGGGTGCTTCTAATCCCATTTACAGATCTGCAGTTTTCAAATGCTGAAACAACTTGCCCCCAGTCACATCATCTTCTGAATGGACTGACAATTAAATTCTCAATATACCATCAGTTACTACGGCAGGAGAGAAACCTTTCCATTACCTCCCCAAACATCTCTGTATCCCCAGTACTTAGCACAATGCCTGGCACATACACTCAATACATTTTGGATGAACCAAAGACTCAGAGAGATGAATATAAATGAGTGAAAATCCTACCTCCTCCATCCCTTCATTATCTCCATCCTCCACAAGAAAGAAGGAAGAATGTATTTTCAAGGAATGCACTCTGCTTATCCTATGAGTTCTCAAGGAAGCCAACAACACATTTCAAAGCCCCACAAATATTGTAATGCCAAAGTTGTTGTCTTTGGCAAATGAAGTGATGATATTATGAAGACTATGCAATCATGAGAAATAAAGGAAGAGAAATTTCAGATACTCAGCTGCATTTCCAGCAGAGGAAAGGCTAAACTGCCTCCAGACACAGCAACAATTTAAATGACGAAGCTCCAGCTGGAGCACATTATATATGCTGCTCTCAGAGACACCTGGATATCAAACTATGGAATAAAATATTTTCAAAACACTGATGTTTCACGGTCAGTATAGAAGAAAAATAAATTAAAAAGCCCAGTATGTTTTCCAGTTTGATATAAATTAATTAAAACATATTTAAAAATAGAGTCAATTATAAGTTTCTCTCATCATAAAATTTTAAAAGGCAGCAATCAATCCTCAGATTGTACAAGTGCAAAGGAATGGTATTTTCTCCATCGAGACACCTCTGTATCTGCGTAGGAACTGCCAGTGTTCTGAGCTATTCAAAAATTGGGGCCTACGTGGTTGAAGCAATCCTCTGATCACACTGCTCCTTTCCCCTTAATGTCCAGCTTGTTACTGGCCTCTGACTGTTTGCTCAGCTGTTCTTCGGTGAAAGTGATGTAGGAATACACCAGGCTCCCAGCAATGCTGCAAAACAGAAAACTACAGTCAGAGATGGAGAGAGGGAAGGTTTTGGGATAAATACAAGTGTTTATTCCAATATTTATAATAGTCAAAAAATTAGATAAAGGTAAATGTTCCACAGCGGAGAATTATATAAACTCATAAAATGAAATACCATATATCTATTAAAATGATACAAAATGAAAACAGGTAATGACATCTTAAATGAGAAAAAAAATCTCACAAAATATCAAGCATTCTCTAATCCTACTGTATTTAAATTAACATGGACATGCACACCAATATGTACCGGAATAGACAAAAACCATTCTACAGAGTCTCTTGCATGGGGCCTGGACTCTGCAGCAACACCATAAATAGCTGCTGAACTGAATATCCCCTATCACACCATTCAAAGAAATGGGCCTCATGACCCTTGTGCCAGTGTTCACATAGTTTGTCTTTTCCTTCATCTTGTAGCTTTTTTTCCATTTAATTTCTTTTCCATTTAACTCTCTCTTTCGGAAACTTTTCTTATTTTTCTAGTGCATCAAATTAGATGATTTCCCTGGTAGCTTACTGAAGCCTTCCCAACTGAAGCCAAAAATTCTTTGAGGTTCACATGTACATCCACATGACAATTTCCCTTTGCCCTGAAACCCAGTCTACCCAATACGAAGTAGAAAGGCTACCCCACCCCTTCCTTCTTTCATCCTATCCTTCTCTAGCTTCCTCCACCCACAACAACCTAAAAAATAACAAAGCTCTCTTTTATTTTCCCTGTCAAGACAGCTTTTGGTGTTCACACTAAGCCTATTCCACCTGAACAGAAATACAGGAAAAATGCAGAGCCGAAGAAGACAAAGAATGGAATTCATTCCAGGCTTAGTCTTTATGATGATCCCAGGCCCTACACTCCTAGTATAGTCAGTGTAATGAAAAAATATGGACTCTAGAGTTAGGTCTTGGTTCAAATCCTGACTATATTATTATAGATTGAGTATGCATTAGCTGTGAGACCAGCAGTGTTCCAGATTTTAGAATATTTCCATGTACTTACCAGTTGAGCATGCAAACCCCAAAACCCAAAATTCAAAATCCTTTTAGAATCATGTCAGTGCTCAAAAAATTTCACATTCTGGAACATTTTGGATTTTGGATGCTCAATCTGTACCACATCTGTGACCCTGGGCAAATTAATTAATCTGAAATTCCATTTCTATATTAATCAAATAAGAAGAACATTATCTATCTAGGCTTGTCTGAGGATTAAATGAGATTACATGCACAAAGAATCTAGCCCTACACCTGGCACAGAGTAAGCAATCAGGAAATATTTATTCCCTTCTCCCCTATCTTCCCTGTCAGACCTGATAGTCACAGACTAGAGGAAAGATGTATTGTTGAAACAAAAGGTAGGGTGATATAACAGTGTCTTTGTCCATCTGGGCTGCTGTAATGAAATACAATAGCTGGCTTATAAACAGAATTTCTCACAGTTCTAGAGGTGGGTAAGTCCAAGATCAAGGCAGATTCAGTGTCTATAGAAGGCCCTCTTCCTGGTTCATAGACAGCACCAACTCACCATGCTCTGGAATCTCTCATGTAAGGGCACTAATCCCACTTATGAGGTTTCCACATCCATAATCTAATCACCTCCCAAAGCCCTACTTCCTAAAACTATCACTTTGGGAGTTAGGATTTCAACACACGAATTTTAGGGGAACACAAACATTCACACCAAAGAGATGTAACATGATGCAAGAGTAGAGCACACTGCTGCCACACAGTTGTTCAAATAACTAGAGCAAAACCAAACACAGAGATAACTCGTCTAAATTCCAGAGATTAAAGAGTAGTCTGTTCAATTTCCAATAATTCCAACTTGAGGCAACAATAAAAGACTTCTCATTTCAATTTTATTCTTAAGTTGATTTTTAGCAAATATTTAAGTATTGAGAAAATTCATGAATCATCTGAAGAGAACTGAATATTCATCAACACTATGTGCCAAACAGTGATGAGTTAACGCTTTGGAAAGAAATTATAAATTGCTCTCTAGCAACTTTGGGGAACGTGCATCTAGGGGGAGGGAAAAGGGAAGATGGGAAAAGCCCAGATTTGATGGAGTGATGGAGAGGCTATATCTGAATTTGTATACATCACTTCTCTGAGCTTCAATTCCATTATCATGTGAACTGGGGGATGACTTAATTAAAAAGAAATAGTAAAGGTAGCCATCATATACTAGGTACTCAACAAACATTAACTCTTTATATGTTACCTTTCCAGATATCTGCTTAAAATCATTTCTAAAGTAAACGTTGGTCTGTGCACATACTTTAAAGATAAAAGTATGTTAGTCACAGAAGACTGGCTAGGATGTGAACCATTCCATCTGTCTAATAGTTTTAGAAGTTTGCCCAGGAGGAAACTCAGAAAAAAACAAAGGACTCCCAAATCCTGTTCTTTGGAATTCACGGCCCTTGACAAGAATATTATTAGCTTTATTGACTGATAAGGCAAGCAAATGCTCTCTTTTAAGATCAGAGTTCTTGTGAGGCCCATACATATATAGGTTTTGTGAAAGACTACATTAACTAAAGAAAAAAAATAAGCCTGAACACTTGTTTCTCACCTATTCCCACTGCTTTAATGTTAAGTTTTTGGAAGAGGGTTTCTCTTACATGTTTAGGGACAGCTCTTTTTCTGCTTTCTTGACATCTTTGTTACTTGAATTCCTCAAATATTTCTATCACCTTCCATCTGTATTCTTTTTTCCCTTTTGCCTATTAAAAAACTCTAAAATATGGGTGGAGGACTATTGTTACAACTAAAAGGAGAATACATCTTATGTGTTTTTCACACCTGGAGAAAGTTCCTTCAAATTCATAAGTCTCCTGAAAAATAGCCTGAGACCTATTGACACACTACGTGCTTTCCACAGGATGTTCTGGGCTGAATTGGAGAAGTTTAGTGGTAGAATTAGGATACACAACACTAATAAAACCTCACATTTTGGCCAGGCATGGTGGCTCATGCCTGCAATCCTAGCACTCTGGGACGCTGAGGTGGAAGGATCACTTGAGCTCACGAGTTGGAAACCAGCCTGAACAACAGCAAGACCCTGTCTCTACCAAAAATATAAAAATTAGCCAGGCATGGTGGTCATGCCTATAATCCTAGCTACTAGGGAGGCTGAGGCAGGAGGATCACTTAAGCCCAGGAGTTCAAGGTTGCTTTGAGCTATGATGACGCCACTGCACTCTACCCAGAGTGACAGAGTGAGACTCTGTCTCAAAAAAAAAAAAAATCCAAAACCTCACATTTTACTGATGAGAAAACTGAGGTTGTAAAAAGTGAATCATAGACAGCTAGTGGCAGTATCAGCAACAGAACATGGATTTTTGCTATATTCCTATTCAGTTCTCTTCTGTTATGAATTATAATGTAAATAAGCAGCTAGCCAGCCTCTCTACAACCTATTCAAATATACAAGTTATTCCACTGAGATGCTAGTTATATAACACTATTAATAGGCTGGTGGATGTTATGTCAGCAGTAACTGATAATACAAAACATGTCCTCCTCTCTCTCCAACTGAGAGAGCCACTGAGGAAAGGAAAAGCTTATATCCTTACATCAGAGGAAGGCTAGAACCAGAAGATAGTCTACTAGAATGAAACTAATTAGGAGAAGCAATCTGGAACCAAGAAGCAACACATACTTCTAAGGAAACAGGCAAAGGAGCCCAAAATGAGAGAATCAGGCAAGGGAGTCTGAAATGAGGGAATTATGGATTCAGGTGCTGAGCAAAGGTTGCTAGACCAAAGGTCTCAGGAAACAACTCCAGATCTAGACTCTGAGATGCACGATGTCTCATCCAGACACTATGTAGACTGTGTGTGGCCACAGAGGCTACAGTAAAATGGCTTTTGTTGCACCAGGAACCTGGCTTAAAAGTATGTAGCCAGTGTGATGACATACTATGCAGGGATGTGAAACAAAACTCATTCACTCATCTATTCACCATTTATTGGTCAGCACTGTGGTTAAGAATGAAGACTTGGAAGACAAATCATGGATCAACCACTTGCAGCTAGATAATACAGGGCAAGTTTTTAGCTTCTCTGTGAAATGCAATATTCATAGTATCTACTTCATAGGGCTATTGAAAAGATTAAAGTGGAATATTTAGGATTCTGTGCCTAACACAAAGCATAAAAAATATTGGCTATTTATCAAAAAATCTCCAGGCAATGTGTGCTGGCGTGGTTGCGGGGAGAGGGGGGCGCTCCTACACTGCTGGTGGGACTGCAAACTAGTTCAACCTCTGTGGAAAGCAATATGGATATACCTTGAAGCGATACAGGTGAATCTACCATTTGATCCAGCAGTCCCATTGCTGGGCATCTACCCAAATGATCCAGTGACACTCTACAAAAAAGACACCTGCACTCGAATGTTTATAGCAGCACAATTCATAGTTGCAAGTCTGTGGAAACAGCCTGGGTGCCCATCAATCCAAGAATGGATTAATAAAGTGTGGTGTATGTATACCATGGAGTGCTGTTCAGCTCTAGGAAACAATGGTGATATAGCACATCTTATATTTTCCTGGTTGGAGCTGGAACCCATACTGCTAGGTGAGGTGTCCCAGGAATGGAGGGACGGGCACCAAATGTATTCTCCAGCAAACTGGTATTAACTGAGTAGCACCTAGGTGGACACATGGGTGCTGCGGTAATAGGGTATTGGGCAGGGGGGAGGGGGGAGGTATATACATACATAATGAGTGAGATGTGCACCATCTGGGGGATGGTCATGATAGAGACTCGGACTTTTGGGGGGGGGAGGTGGGCATTTGTTGGGGCCTTGAAATCTATACCCCCATAATATGCCGAAATAAAAAAATATATATATATTGGCTAGTATTTTGTTATTATTATTACTTCTGAATGCCTATTATGGGCCAGGCATGGATATATACTGACACAACTGTAAATAACACAAGTGATTTCTGCCATCAAATAGCTAATAAAGTGGCGATGAAAATCAATGAAATATATAATTTACTAGGCTACATTATATTTATTAAGTCATTTACTTAATGACGACATAATCAGGGGTGAGAACTTAAGGTCTGGAGTCCAACCGCCTGGGTTACAATCCTTGCATCATGATTTACTAGCTGTGTGACACTGGCAGATCTATGAGAGAATCCACCATGTCTCTCTAGAGCAGAATGCCTGGCACACAGAAACAGGCTCAACGCGTATCTTCAGAATGCATTCAAGTTATTAACCTCTCTAAGTCTTAGTCTCTTCATTTATAAAAGTGATTATAAAATAACTTCAAGGGTGTTATGAGGAATTAAGCGATTCAACAGAAAAAAGGACTGTATTTTCCATAAAAGGTATTGGAACAATTAGATATCTATATTAAAACACACACACACACTAAAAGGAACCTTGATCCAGACTTCACACCACATAAAAAGTTAATCCAAAATGAGCAATATAAAAACCTAAGCCTTAAAAAAATGTCTAGAAGAAAACGTAAGAGAAAATCTTTGTGACCCTGGGTTAGGCAAAGATTTCTCAGATACAAAACCAAAAGTACATCCCAAAAAGAAAAAAACTGGTAAATTGGAATTCATGAAAATTTTAAACTTTTGGTCTTTAAAAGGGACTGGTAAGAGAATGAAAAGACAAGCCACAAACTGTGGAAACAGTATTTGCAAATCACATAGCTGATAAAGGACTTGTATTCACAATATATAATAACCTCTAAAAACTTAGTAAGAAAAAGATAACCCAATTTTTAAATGGGCAAAATATCTGAACAGCTATTTTACCAAAGAATATATAGAAGATGGCAAATAAGCCCATGAAAAGATGTTCAACATGATTAATCATTAGAGAAATAATCAAAACCACAATGAGGTACTATTACAGATCTATGAGAATAGTTCAAATTAAAAAAAAAAAATGACAATGCCAAGGGTCAGGAAGTGGAGCAAATGGAACTCTCATATATTGCTGGTAGTTATGCAAAATGGTCCTACCACTTTGGAAAATAGTTTGGCAACTCCTTATAAAGTTAATACACTTACCATACAACCCAGAAATTCTACTCCTAGACATTTACCCAAGTGAAATGAAAACTCATGTTCACACACAAATTTCTAAGCAAGTGTTTCTAGCAGCTAATACATATACATAATAGCTAAAAACTGGAAATGACCCAAATGTCTTTCAAATGGTGGATGGATGTTATATGGCCATATAATACTACTCAGCAATAAAAATATAAAAAGTGGCCAGGTGCGGTGGCTCCAGCTTATAATCCTAACACTCTGGGAGGCCAAGGCAGCGGATCATTTGAGCTTTTACTTCATTTTGGCAATTATGTTACCTATTTAAAGGAGGACAAAAAGAAAATCAAGACAGCTCTGAGATCTCTATTTGTGTCATAATGATGCTTTAATCCAAATTTCTAGAAATGAATGAAACTCAGGCCACATTCAAAGCCAGCACAGATTCATCATGTTGCTCCTACCATCCTGGCAAATTCCTTACAAATATTAATAAAAAATTGATAAAAAGCACAAATGTCAAGCAATGAACAGATAACTTTCCATTCATCACACTATTTCATTCTAACAGCTCTAATGAAAGGGTTGTTTTCATCCCCAACACAGAAGAAAACGAACTCAGAAAGGATAAACTTGCTTAAAGTCCCACAGACGGCAAGCATGAATACCAACTCCCAACAAAATCTGACGTTCAACTACTCATTTGCCTCCTTTAATAGGCGATTTTTAGGTATACATATATACACCAACCCTGCCAACTCCTACCTCCACACCAATAAATAATTTTTCCTTCTAAAAGACATATATATAGTTAGGAAATAAATAAATGTTAGGAAATAAATGTTAGGAAAAGGCCAAGAATTATTAACCTATTAATAATATTAGTATTAATTCTCCTATTACTCCATAACAAATGTAGAACTGGTCCTATCATTTATTTAAATATGAAGAAATAAAAGGTCAGAGAGGTTCTATAATTTGTGGCAATCCTTTATTGGATATTTTCTGAAGGTAAAGCCACAAAATTTGTTAACACACTGGATATTGGATATATGATAGAAAAGCCAAAGATGATTCCAAGGGTTTTAAACTGAACAGCTATAAGGATGGAGTTTCCATCAATGAAGATGATAAGGCATACTTTGGAGAAAATAAAAGTAGTTCATTTTGGACACATCAACTGGAGATGTCAAATGGGCTGTTGGATAAATGAATCTGATTTGAGAACAGAGGTCTGGCCCAAATATAAATTTGATAATTTTTAGGCGTACAAACAACGTTTAAAATGAGATTCCAAATTCCAGAAATGAAAAAGACCCTTCCTACAATACAAGTCACCCGCTTCACTGATGAATACAAGGTCTAAAGAAAGGTAGTGATATGTCTAAGGTAACACTCATATAAAGCAACTGTAACTGAGCTGGTATTCTTCTTTAGCCCTACATTTCTTGAGAACACTACACTGCCATCTAGCATAATAATTAGAGGACTTTGAAGGCTAAGTAAAGAGAGTTTGACTTCCACAAGATTCCCCAAATAGTATGCAAAAAATAAGGAAGTATTTTCTCCTCCTTTCTGAAAAAGCATTATGTAGAGACATTAAGTATCTAGCACATAGTAGACACTTCACAAATGTTTAATAAGTCAATAAATTTTCCATTAATTTAATATCCCAATCTTACTGTGACATTATTTGAATATCCAATTTCCACTTGTCAAAGTGGTTACATTTAATTAATATTTTTACTTACCTGATATTTAAGCCAATAAAGTTTGTCCATGTGAAAATATAATCTCCACCAAAGACCATTCCAATATAAGTTATTAATATATTCTAAAAAGAAAAATGGCAATACATTGTTACATAGATTTAACTGAGCTTTTTAAATATATCTAAAAACTAACCTATGCTGTGACCCAAATACCTATTTTTAAAATACAAAAACAAACAGACAACAACAAAAGAAACCCACCAACTCTAATAACAGTGTAGTGTGAGCAAGAACACTGTTAAGGAACCAATGACATTAGCCACTTCCTAATGTATTTATCCAGAATATAAATGCTTCTGATATAGAAGAATATTAACAAGATTGTCAAACTTTCCCTGCCCTGTGGGCTTACATTATTAATTTATAAACACTGCTGTTATTAGGGGTAGAAAATATAAATACACATTCAGCAATCTTAGAAAAACTGTATTTTTCTCCTATTGAGATAATTGTAGACTTGTGAGGAGAGAGTGAAAAAGAAAAGACTGCTTCCATACAAGCATCTTTCCCTCTTCTTTTAAAAAGAAAAAAGGGGATATTAGGGAGTTAACCAAAGTAAAGACTGTTTTTAGAAAAATCTTCCTTGATATCCTAAAAAAACATATGGTAAGTCATTTCAATGCACTATACCTAAAATCACCTCTCCAGACACTCCCAGGTATAAACATCTTCTGGCTCTCTCTTAATTATCCTCAGACTACAAAAGTGAAAAACAAGGTTCTAAAGTTTAAACTATAAGCTATCTTTTATCTGAAATGCGTGGGACGAAAAGTGTTTCAGATTTTAGATTTTAGAATATTTGTATCATACTTACCGGCTGAGCATATCAAATCAAAAATCCAAAGTCCAAAATGTTCCAATGAGCATCTCCTTTAAACAAGGTCATGTTGGCCCTCAGGAAGTTTCAGATTTTGGAGCATTTCAGATTCAGATTTGGGATGCTCAACCTGTATTATTCAATTCCTCCCCAATCTTCCTTCTTTCATATTCATAAGTCACTGCCTCCCCATGTGCTATTACAACTGCCATAAACTGTAAATGTCACAAACATTTTTAGTACCTAGGCTTTCCTAGATTAGACCCATGAGACAGAAAGTAAATTGCTAGGGTGTTTTTAAAAGGCCAAAAACAAACTTCAAAATTATTTTTATAACAGAGTGCCCTTTGAGAAAACATTTAAAATTATGCCAGCCTTTTCTAGGTCTAAGGATGGAAACAGCAAGTTACCCTAGAGCAGATTTTCTTCTTTGAGGGGAAAAAATAAAATTAAATATCATGTAACAGTAAACAAGGCCAGTAGGCAACTTAGGAAGTATATAACAGGACTTCTCTTTGAATACAGAGATCCAAGGAGAAGGTGAATTAATTTACTTACATAAGCTGGCCAGGGAACTTCAGAAAGGGAGGGTACAGAGAACCCAACCTATGCTGCTCAAAATCAGAAGTTTGAAAAACCATAGGTATATATGAGGGTATCCCAAACAAGGTTTGGTATCAGGAAAGATGGCCAACGTCCTCCAAACAGAACTTGGAAGCACAGAAGAGTTCTGGTAGCTCAAAACCAAGACTGCAATTCTCAAATTTTAGTATACCTGAGAATCATCTGGAAACCTTGTTAAATATGAAGATTTCTAGGCTCTGATTCTGATTCAGTATATCTGGGGGAGGCCTTGGAATTTCCATTTTTAACTAGTTATCCTAAGTGATTTTTCCACCATACTGAAGAGAAACAAAGAATGCTGACCCAAGCGCTTGTGGGGTTGGGATCCTCAAGCACAGAAGGAAGCTTAAAGTTCATAGGAGGTACAATGGCTAAGCTAAAAGGGTTATGAGTAGGAAGCTATGGAAAGAGGCTCCACTGTGGCCTGTGAAGCTCTGACCATGCAAGGGCCTCAGCAGACTTCCACCTGTCCGAAGATGCAAGCCATTCTTTGACAGTGATACCACACATCAGTGAGAAGCAAAAGGAACAGCGAACTAATCAGATAATTCAGTTTTTACCTCTCTCTAGAATTTGGAAGTAGATTTTGTAACTAATCCCGTTGGAATAAGTAAATCCATGGGGTTCTTAGACTACTGTGGGGAGGAGCATATATCAAAAGTATAGACTATTTTTTGTAAACAAGAGCATTACTATATTTGTATACCATGCTGATAAAGTACACTAAGAAATTCCAAGCAAATAGGTATAGTTATAAAATCAAACACAAGCTTTCCTGCATCATTCTTCTTAGCTAAAAAAAAATGGTATCAACTGCCCTACCTCTCATGTGCTACTCTTATTCCAAAGACACAAGTTATCCACTTTGTTCTCAAAGCATTCACTTTGCAAAACCAAAACATAGCTGAGAACTCATTAGGGGTTAAAACTATCTCAGCCAGCCTAGTTCCTTGAATATATAGACTCTCTTTAGCTATCTGGGATAATTCACACAATTGACTTGTTACAGCTTAATTTAGAATTCTATTCACACCAAACATTCCAATACTATGATTTGAAGCCACAGACTTTTTAGAGTTTTAACCCAATCTAGTTGAACATGAAAAGGGAAGTCATAAGGGCAACTGCCCACTTTTCCCCAAATGATCAAAGACCTACCTCTCTCTGTCTTGCCTGTTTTAGAAAGCAAGGCCGCTTTGCCAATTCATTTGGAATTCAGACAAGCTGTGGCCTCTTGAATCTTAAATCACTAGAATCACAAAGTCAGATGAAAGAGGCCTCAGGCTTTAAGGCACTAACTTTAGCCCAATATACAAGTAAACTTGGCTCTCCTGGCTGAAGACAAATTCTCCCTCAAACAAAATAGATTGGGAGGAAATGACATCACTGGAAATGTCCACCACAGCTTTTAAAAGTGGGCCATTTAAGGTTTGGCTCAGGCACAGGAAAACTCCCTTGAACAGCCAGAACTCAGTGAGGCAGAGACAGAATAATTCTCACTAGAGGTTACAGGAACAGCCTTATCATCACCAAGTTATCATCTGCCCTATCAGAAACAGGCCTAATTCTCTTTCTTTCTCTACTCAGATAATACATTTTCCTTTCCCCATACTCTTCAAAGCTAAGTTGCCTGCAAGTAGAGAGTATGCCCTCCTGCGTTCTTAAAGACTATTTCAGAAACTATCACAATTTGTCACACTATCAAAACAGTACATGAAGGTTGTGAGGCTTGAGGCCATAGCCAGACTCTTATTTGTGGAGAAGAATTTTTAAACAAAGCAGGTACCAAAGGGATAATAGTATTTTTTCCACTCACCTTAATACAGCCAACTATTGTAGTTGTAAGAGCAGAATTATATTGAGTGCAGAGTACTGTGGCGTACATCAAGATAAACCTAGAGTGAGTAAGTTTGAGGTATAAATAAGATCCATTTGCTTACTTTATAATGTCTCTAACCGAGAGAAATAACCAGTGTTGGCCATGCTAGCACATGCTAGTCACTGACCAACTGTGAGTTTTCCCCACCTCACTGCGGCTTATATTGCAGCTTGGTTTTTAAAAATTTCACTAAAGAGAAACACATGTCCATTTCCTGACAGGTATTTTTCCTTGACACCCTCACCAAAACCCTGAAACCATCATTCATAATCATAAGCACTCTTTATAGATCATGTTTCCTACTAGTTCACCTAAGCCAGCTAGAAAGTTCAGAGCTCACAGACCCTAGCTCAGTTGTGCACCTTCCATGAGGACAATATGATCTCTGGGCCAGGGTGAAGGCAAGAGAGATCCTGTGAGATGGAAGAAAACCACATTAAAACTACTTTAAGAGGGGATACAGCTTCACTTACAACCTAAGCAGCAGCAGCTGGAACTCCCTGATTTACATTGAAGCTTCTGAGCCTGACTTAGTACCAAGGGCCAATGTCAACTTTATTTTGAAGCACCTGCTCACTCTGTGCCAGACCCAGTCACAAATAGCAACTGAACTGACTGGTTGAGGAAAAAATACATTAGAGAAATATGGAGGTGAGGAGAAGAGGCCTGTTCGCAGACACCCTCTCACCTTCTAGTCTCTTCAGAAATGGAGACGACATGATAGAGAGTGGTCAAATGGCCCCAAATTCAAATGCTGCCACTGCCACCTACTAATTGTGCAAATATAGACAATTTACTTAAGTTCTGAGTCTGCTTTCTCATGTAAAAGGACAGCAATATCTGTCAAATGGTCAATGTACAGATAAAACAAAATAATGCACATTGAAATATAATAGTGCTTATCACACAGTAGGTTCTCTGGTAAATAGTTCCTGTTCTCCATCCTTTTAGCATGACTGGGATCAGTTCAGCAGCCCTGAGAGCACAGCCCAAGGGCTGTGAAACCACCTGAGTCTGGAGGCTTAGGCTTAATTATCCTAAGCTGACACACTTAGACCAAACAGGATACTGAGAAAGGAGGCAGGACTCTGGAACAAAGTTCTCTAACCTATTTCTCTAAGAAAACTATCTGCTAACAAGACAGCAAAAGCTCACCCCATCACACAGGAGAGGGTGAACTGCAGAAGAAAGAGGGTGTCGGCCCAGCCTTCAAACTCCACCGCCTGTAACACACAAGAAAACATTAGATTTTAGAGCAGGCCCTCAAAATCAGCTCTCCCATTCATTAATGGAAATCCTTCTATGCATCTGCCTTACACACACACACACACACACACACACACACACACACACACGCACACACGCACGCACGCACGCATATACATTTCCCTGTATCAGTCCATGGACAAAGAATGATGTTCAAAAATTTCATGTATATGGAGTAGTTGAACCAATAATCAGTTTCAGGTTTTCTCCTTTCCAAAATATAATGTGGGAATGATTTTGTACTTCTCCCTATTGGTGCAAAGAAGTGGATATTTCCTGAAAATCACAAAGCCACAGGCCACATCTGGCTAATCTCAGCAGTTCTCCCAGATGGTTGTTAATGTGCTAGTATTAAAGGTTCTCTCAAACATTAAAACATGTCTCATTCCTGTAACATGTGAAATCTCAAAGTACAGCTTTAGTTATATAAATTTAGCTGGACTCTGTTTGAGAATTACTGTTTTCAAACAGTTGTTTCTAAAAGAAAGGTGTTTTTGTTCTTGTTTAAGACAAAAGGAAAGGAATGAAGAGAAATGAAACCATCTCATCTCTCATCCAAGAGGGATGGCTTCTCTCCCAAGTACATAGTTTCTTCTGCAATATGAGCTTGATATAAGCAAATATGAGAAATCATTCCACCTTGTCTCTCTGCCAGCCTGTCCAGCTTCAACTCTTGCCACTTCCACATACATCTCATGGCTCCAGAGCTCCAGCAATACCAGGCTCCTTGTGGTTTATTAAACATAACATGCAGTCTCACAGTTGCATACCTTTGCCTGGCCTGCTCTTCCCTTCAACACTCATCTGATCCTGTTCACCCATCAAACTAAAACTCAAGGCTTCTTTGTGGGACCTTCCCGATCAAGTACTCCTTCCTTTGTGTCTCAGTACTTTTCTCTAGGGCTCCTGTCTCTCTGAACTGCAAGTCTTTCTATGACATGTCTATAGACTGTGAGCTCCCTAAGGGGAGAATCCATATCACATGTATCTAATCATATTCCTAACATACATAGCACTTGACAGACAGTAGACTGTGGTTCTTTCTTTGTTGGGGTATAACATATAAAAAATAAAATTCACCAACTTTAAGTGTTCAGTTCAATGAGTACTAACAAATGTAGTCATATAACCACTATTACAATCATGATAAAGAAATCCTTCCCTCCAAAGATCCCTCCTGCCCCTTTACAGTCAAACCCCTCCCCCATTTTTAGTCCCTGGCAACCTCTGATACTACAGTTCTTCTGTTACTACAGTCTTGCTGCTCAAATTCCATATAAATGGAATTGTATAGTATGCAGTCTTTTGTCTTGCTTTTTTCACTAGGCATAATGCTTCTGAGATTCTTCTATGCTGTGTGTATATCAGTAATTCATTTTTATTGCCAATTTGTATTCTACCCTATGGATATGCCACAATTTGTTTATGAAGACACCAATCAGTGGACATTTATTTGGGTTGTTTCCACAAGATATTATGAATAAAGTTGTAATGAACCTTTGAATCTCTCTATGGACAAGTTTTTATTTATCCTGGCTAAGTACCTAGAAAATGGGATTGGTAAGCATATCTTTTACTTTATAAGAAATTGCCAAGTGTTTTTCCAAAGCAGCTATACAATTTTTGTATTCTCATCAGCACTGTATAAGAGTTCTCACTGTTCTACAGGGTCTCCCACACTGAAACTGTTATAGGCCATCCTAATGAGTAAGTAGTATCTTCCAATTTCAATTTGCATTTCTTTTAATGTGCTTACTTGACATCAATATTTCTTTTTTAATGAAGTATCTGTCCAAATATTTTGCCACATTTTTATTTATTTTTATTCAAGGTATTTGTCTTTTTATGACTGAGTTGTTAAGAATTTTTAAAATATATATTCTGGATAAAAGTCCTTAATCATACAGATATCATGATATATATATATACACACACACACACACTTAATAAAATACAAATATTCTCTTCCAGTGTGTGATTTGCCTTTTCATTTTCTTAATGGTATCTTCTGAAGAGCAAATTATTTTAATTTTGATGTAGTCTAACATCAATTTTGTGTTTTGTAATTCTTGCTTATAACTTTTTAGTGAAACTTGTGTCTAACCAAAAGTCACAAAGATTTTCTTCTAGGAGTTTTATGGTTTTAGTTCCTATGGTTAGGTCTATGATCCTTTTCATATTAGTTTGCCAGGGCTGCTGTAATAAGTACCATAAAATTAAGTGACTTAAATAAGAGAAATCTGTTGTATCACAGTTCTCGTGGCTACAAGTCCAAGATCAAAGTGTCCACAGAGTTGGCTCCTTCTGAGGACTGAGGAAGAGAATCCGTTCCATGCCTCTCCTCTACCTTCTGGTGGTTTGTTGCCAATCTTTGGTGTCCCTAAACTTGTCTGGGTGTCACCTTGATTTCTACCTTCATGTTCACATGATGTTCTCTCTGCGTGCATGTCTGTGTCCCAATTTCCATTTTAAATAAGAACACCAGTCATATGGAATTAGGGGCCCTCCTTACTCCAGCATGACCTCATCTTAACTAATTACATCTCAACGACCCCATTTTCAAATAAGGTCATATTCTGAAGTACAAGGGGCTAGGACTTCAACATATTAATTGGCAGCAGGGAGAATATAATTCAATCTGTAACATTTTCCAATTAATTTTTGGACATTTCATGAGGTCAGAGTCAAGGTTCTATTTTTTGCAAAAAGATGTTAAATTGTTCCAGCTCTATTTGTTGAGCAATTATCCTTTCCTCATTGATTTATTTTGGGCCCTTTGACAAACAACTGACTACATGGTTTATTTCCATTTCTAGATTCTCTGCTTTGTTCCACTGCTACTGTCTTGTCTTAATCTAACACCATACTGCCTTGATTACTGTAGCTTTATAAGAAGTTTTGAAATCAAGTAGGATAAATTTCAAAATCAGCATGTCAATTTCTACAAATAATCTTGGTACAGGAATGAGGTGGTATTGAATCTATAGAATTTAGTGAGAACTGACAAATAAATGTATTTCATAAACATTCTTAAACATAAAAATCAAGCCGGGCGCGGTGGCTCACGCCTGTAATCCTAGCACTCTAGGAGGCTGAGGCGGGCGGATTGCTCGAGGTCAGGAGTTCGAAACCAGCCTGAGCAAGAGCAAGACCCCGTCTCTACTATAAATAGAAAGAAATTAATTGGCCAACTAATGTATATATATATAAAATTAGCCGGGCATGGTGGCGCATGCCTGTAGTCCCAGCTACTCGGGAGGCTGAGGCAGAAGGATTGCTTGAGCCCAGGAGTTTGAGGTTGCTGTGAGCTAGGCTGATGCCACGGCACTCACTCTAGCCTGGGCAACAAGCGAGACTCTGTCTCAAAAAAAAAAACAACATAAAAATCACTTATTTAGGTCTTTTAAAATTTCTCTCAGTATTGTTTTGTAGTCTTCAGCCTACAGGTACTGTCATATTTTGTTCAATTTATCCCTAAGTATTTCATAATTCTGACGCTATTACAAAGGTTATTATTTATTTAGTTTCTAAAGTGTTCACTGCTACTATATGGAAGTACAGTTGATTTTTGTATACTGTAATCTTTTTTTCTAGATTCTTTAAGATTTTCTACATATATTATTAATAGATGCTTTTTATAGTTTTGCCTCTTCCTTTCAAATCTGTGTGACTTTTAATTTCTCATTCTTACTTCATTACACAGATGAGGCCCTGTTATTCCATCATGGTTAGAAACTGAAAGACCACATTCAATTGCTGATTTGAATTATAAACCTATTTCAAATGATGCTTCCACTAGGAAGCTTTACACAAAAACCTAAAGTGCACATTAGTCTCTTTCCTGTCAAACTCTCCAGAACACTAAATGCTACTTTTATCAGGTAAGTGACTAAGTATATATATGTACATAGCTATTCTTATGTACATGACTGTCTATCCAGATACCGCAAAAACCATGATGGTTTATCTTTGTATCCACAGTGCTCAACAAAGTAACCAGAAAATCATTTAATAGGCATTTAATAACTGTTTGCTGAATGAATGGAAGATAAATAAAGAATTCATACATATAGTCTCATGCAAAGACCTTTCTTCTGTAAATACAACCTATTCTCTGATGAAAAATCATTAAAGCACAATAAACTGGCCTAGGACCCAGGAGATTGGTTTCTGCTAGCAAGACTATAAATTCCCTGGGAGCAGGGATTGTGTCATATGTCATTTCTGCATAGCTCCAACTACTTGAAAGTGCTAGTCACAAATATTGTGGTAGATTAAACATTCATGATCTATGGCCCAGAATCATTTTCTATAGATAGAAGAGCTAAACTTTGCTTTATTTTTATTTTATATTTTTAAGAGACAGGGTCTCACTCTGTCGCCCTGGCTAGAGTACAATGACGCAATCATAGCTCACTTCAACCTCAAAATTCCTGGTTTTAAGCAATCCTCCCACCTTAGCTTCCTGAGTAGCTGGGACTATAGGCACACACCTCCACACCTAGCTAATAGCTAAATTTTTTTTTTTTTTGTAGAAATGGAGTCTTGATATGTTGCTCAGGCTGGTCTCGAACTCCTGACCTCAAGCAATCCTCCTGCCTTGGCCTCCTGAAGTGCTGGGATAACAGGTGTGAGCCACCACACTTTGTTTTTTAATACACCCACACACTTGGCTTATACATGCTACTGAATGTATTTCAAGTTTCATATTAAATATATAGTTCTATTTATTTTCCACTAATATTAATATTCATTTCACATTTATTTGAAATGGAACCAGAATCTCAACCACACTTTTATTTCAACTGTTCACATTTCAACTATTCACAAAACTATCAGTATGCCCTCAGTTTTTTTCCTCCTGGCTTTACTGAAATATAACTAACAAAATATATAATTTTAAATTTTCTTCTAATGATAAAAGGTCATTTTAACTGCATACAACTCCTTAGCTTTT